ATAGAAAATACTGAAAAACGAAAGGAGTTTAAAAACTGTTTGTTTGTACATAAAAAAGTAAAAACTGTTATTTCCTGTTAATTAACAAATGTGAACGAATCAGGTTATAGATTAGGTGGTGATTCTGTTGTTTTTTTCTACTAATTGGTAAAAAAAATATATATATAAGTGGAAATAACCTGCAGATGAAGGGTCATGCCATGCACATATTGTCAATATAAGAAAGTTCTAATATTTTTTTATTTATTCCTGTTATCCATAGTTTTAGGAATACACCACATCCCACCCATCATCCCAAATGTTGGTTTAAAACTCAAAGCCACATACATCTTATCATATAATTATAATTGTGCAGCTAAAAATGAAATAGGTCCTAAACTTGAGCCTTTAAGGGAAAAAAATGCTAAAAATTTAATTTTTTTTCACCTGCAAAAACATTAAATGTTCTGTATTTAAAACCTAGAATGAATAAAATAAGTTTTATGATAATAAAGACAACATCGATGTGACTATTTGATTATTTTTCCTTAAAATTAGATGATAAAATGATGATTTAATCTTCAAATATTTTTAGATAAAGTTAAGTTTTGCAGATGCTTTTCATTTATAAAGTGTCCTACGTTAGAGACAGCCTTACACTAAGGTATATATATATATATATATATATATATATATATATATATATATATATATTGATATAAAGCGATTTAAAAAGCAATACCTTAGTAGTATATTACGGTACCTCTAAGAAGTGTTATTTGATGCCATGCTAGTTGAATAACGGTTTCCTTTATACCCATTTGAGCCCTCCTATTAAAATGCATCTTATCTTATTCAGGTATAAATATAAAAAGGTTTTAATGATGGCTACTTTCTCCTGACATTGAAATCCCTCATGAGTGATTAATACTGAGATACCTGCTCTAAATGCAGAAAATCAAACCAGCAGGTTTATTGTTTCTTTATTGTTTTAGTAAAAAAACAACTTGGACAGCTGATTGATACAAAAATGCGGCAGCATTAGGATGACTCTTTGGTCATCTGTTTAATGGATAGCATCACTGCAAACAAAGGCGAAGAGCAAAGAGATTGTGACAATCATATATGACTTCCCCTCTTCCGCTCACCATGCTGGTTCTTTATAAGTTTTAGATCTGAGGAGCAGGAAGTACATAGAAGCTGGAGGATTTTGTCTCTTGGGAGCCATTTTATGTTTTCTAGAAGCTTTGACTAGATGTTTATTTAAATATTGGGGTATTTCACAGCATCCAGGTAGCCTTTCAAGTTTCCCAGGATATTTGGAAGATATGCAACCTTACATCATCACAGATCTTCCACTATACTTACACTTAACAGTGGGCCTTTTCACTTATATCGTATCTTTAAACCACCTAACGACGGTTTGTTGTGACGCTCAGTTTTAGTCACCTCACTTTAAAGCAAATAATCCCAGAAGAGTTAAAAAAAACTTCAAACATTTGTGGTATTTGATGGTAGAGTGGAAAATGGCTTTTCCTTTGCTGCACATACAGTAGACGATGATTATTGTTGTTATACTGAGGCGATGCAGAAATATTTCATTGAATTTCATCAAGGAAAGATGCATTTTGCCAGGTTATTGCAAGAAATGCTAATCTCAAGCTTAGTCCATGTGTAGGCTGATGCTAACTACACAAAGGTTTGTAGAAAATGTGAAATAGAGCAGAATCCAAAATGACCGCAGTAATTGTTGAATCATACCTTCCTAAAACAAGTCAAACCACCATAATAAGGCTTCACTCACACATACTCATCATTAATGGTCAATCGTAATTTTATTGTCCCCAATGGGAACATTAATTAGCAGAGAACAAACAATCCATGCATTGGTCTCCAAAGAAAATAACAGATCAACCTTGGTGGCATCAGTCAGCATTAGCAAAGGCTGCAGCACTCATGGTTTCATGTTATTAAGCAGGACAATTGCAGCAGGTATGAAATAGACCATCTGTCTCTTGGTCGCACCATCATATCAGTTCATTTGGATGATTGAATCACTTCCCTTTCTGCAAATGTGTGAAGTTGGGGGTTTGATAAGCTTGACTGGTCTGCAAAGAGTCCAACTAAAACCTTGTAGATCAACTTTGGGAGCAATTAGTGCAGAAAAACGGAAATTCTGAATTTCTCATTTAACTGAACACAACCTAAAGAGTATGGATTTTTATTTAAGAGAGCACGATCGTCAACGAAATGAACCCTTTAGATGAATATTGGGATATCTTCAAGGTTGACGTACAAGTAGAGAGACAGTAGGAGCTAATTTCCCAACCTTTTTTGACTTGTTTACCCCTTTGTGCATTTTGTCTTATCATGAGTTCCCCTCTCAGTCAAACGTATCGATGATTGTCCAAAAGTGGAACGTATAATAACTGATTATAACATAAAGAGTATTTTATACACCAGATTTTCCCCATTCTGGGAGAATAAATTGATTTTCTAACCTATTTTATTCTATTTCAGTATTGGTAGCCCTTCCTATGACTCAGTACCCATGACAGTATTGTGACTGAAAGGCTGAAGGCAAAGCTTATGAACGCCTGCCTTCTTACAACTAAATTAAGCTACACTTCCCTTAACAATAACCAATTCAGAAATTATACAAGAAAATATATTTCGCTTACAGTGATCACTTTAAAGTGTAAAGTCATGCACGGCTTTTTTGAAACTAAGAAAGGATGTACATGACTTTAAAAAATTAAAATCAGGCCCTTAATGTTAAAACCTTCTGATTTTGGACCACGGAGTAAAAGATTAATGCTTTTTGCAAAACTTTTTAAAGGATGTAGTGTGTTTAAATTAGAACAAAATACTCCATTATTGTCTCAAAGAGACGAAATTAAGGTGTTTACATCAGAAGGAAAAATGACCGTACCATTATCACAAATTGGATAGTTGGATCAAATGAAATGTGTAACTCAGAAGGATGAACTATGTAATAACTTTGCATTAAAAAAACAGCAACAGACTGTTTACAAGAAAATGGAAAACTGTAATTAACAGCAGAGAAGTAAACAACTTAATGAGTCGACATTAGTTTACTTTTGAAAGAAGATGTTTGTCTTTATCCACATGAATACTTTTACCACTAAACATCTCATATTTTTATGGTTTTTATAAGTATGATCTATCATAGATGCCTTCATTGCAGAGAATTATTAAAGCAGAACGCTGTCCTGTGCATCGCTGTCTGAACCAGTGAAACCCAGAGGACACAGAAACACATTAACATTCATATGAGGCTCATCATTGATGACCAGCAGGGTCTCAGTAGCAGCGTTTAGAAACAATAATGGATCTTAATGATGTATGCCGCTGCCGTAACTGTGGTGTTAAAATTTGTCCAACAGACTGAGGCAGCAGAGTATGGTCGAAATGAAGAACGGCTCCCAGAACGGGGGAGTCATGGGAGGAGCGCGGGAGATGTTCGGGAGCTGGCTGGAGGACGGGCCTCTGAGGATGGGACGGGAGCTGCTGCTGGACAGAGAGAGGAAGATGGCGGAGGAGACGTCCGGGCGGCTCACAGGTTAAAGGTGAGAGGTCGGTCCTTTGCGACATGTCCGCTGTAAAGTTAGGTTACATCACAAATGGAGATGTTGGTGAGTCTGAATCGTTTGAGAGTTTCTAAATCAGAGGTGATTCATTTATAAATCATCTATTCATGTGAAAGGCAGAAATGTTTAATTAAACCTGCAGCTGCATTTAAATTCCTCACAAAATCTGTTAATTAATCCTTTTTTAGATGATAAATTTATCATGTTATAAATGTCAGAAATGTGTGGTAACCTTCTTTTGAAACGTTGGAAAATGAACCATGGTTTTCCAGGGGCATTGCTGATGTTTAGTCATTAACATGATAATGAATTTAAAGCTTTTTCTGGCGGAGTTTCATTTACAAAAACAATTTTATAGAAATCCTTTTCCTTTTATTTATAACCAGGAAACTCTTTTAAGATTATCTCTCAAAAAAGTTTCCCAACTAAACATTTTAAACATGTTAGTCGTCCCCCATGTTGCTGTTGGTTGGAGGACTTTACTGTCGCCGCGGTCTCACCCGTTTGGTTTCTTAATGCTTTGTGTGTAAAACACACAAATTTAAATCTTAGCCACTTGTTGCAACATGAACCTTTTGTTAGTGCTTCTCCTAAGAGTTCACAGTATGAAAATCTGCATTTTCTATTTATAGAGTGAGTAAAAAAGTATTCACACTTATTTGGTTAATTATTATTTATATTCAGTTTTTTTTTTACTTTATAATGGTAAATATATAAAAAGAGATAAGAGTATAAACTAATTTCTGAAATGTTTATACAGATGATGAAACATAGAAACACAATCAGGTGAATATTCCTATAGCCTGAAGAATTGTCCATCACTTTGATATAAATAAAACCACAATAGCTGCATACAGTATGTAATACAGGTTTCAACGTTTAGTTGAGGTATTTTTCATTTCAAAAAGTTTATTTCAAACCTGCACACATTTTACAATACATATAATGACAAACAATACATATGCATGGCTTGAAAAGGGGATGGATGTCCAATCCCCTCCCGCTCATCCCAGGGACACTCCCAAGACCTGCAAACGTATGTGCGAATACTTAGTTAGACTTGGACATCTTTTATTGTCATACTGTGTTAGGTATACACAGGGTGTATACAGCACAAAATTGCATTAAGTCCAGCTTTTAGAAAAAATATTTCCATTTCTTAAATTGCAGCAGGGATCAAATGTAAACAGTGTGTGAGAAAAAAAAAACATGGTGCAAAAAATGATAGATGGGATAAAGGTAATAGAGTAAATTCATGCAGGATACAGAAATAAAATAATTTTTTTCTCTTCCTTAAAAAAGCACTTTATTTGAAAAGCATGTTAAAACTGTATCGTTAATCAAAGAATTTATAAAGTAATATCTGATGATTATTTGTGTTAGAGTAGCTACTAAAAAAGCAGATGAGCAGTTTTACAGATGCTTTAAAGTAGGTTTTTCCAGGCAGAACCAATACTGGTGCCATTTTGGCTCTTAATGGGCCACTTAACCTTTCTCACATACCAGAAATGATAATTAGTCAGATGTCGCTGATTTCTCACTACGGTTCTTCATTCGATTGCAGTGAAACTGTTTTTGGATCATTTTAGGATTTACTCCCAGCCTGTGAAGATTTTAACATTCAAATAAAACCATATAATGGAAATAAAGTTTAACTTTAAAGTCATAGGGAAGTTATATTTAAATTTCAAATCATTCTGACTTAAACATGTATATAAATGCATTCTTTATCAGACCATATTGTCCTAAAAGTTAGAAAATGTCTATTATTTTTAAAAATTCTGTCTTAAAATCAGTGTTTTTTTTTTCCGTTATTTTATGCAGGCCAGTTAGTTATACATCAGCCTGAACACCTAAATTCAGCCAATCATGTATCAAAAGTCATCTGTCAATCAAATTTTCTCAGTCATAGCATCTTGATTCATATGTCGCAGCTAATATACGCAACGGTTGAAATAAGTTGATTAAGTTATTAAGTTAAATAAGGTTGAAAATCAAGCATCTTAACACCACATCCAGTCGAGAGAATAAAAAGTAACGCCTTTATATGTGTTAGAAAGCAGCATTAAAGATTTGGAATAAAAAAAATCATAAAACATATTTAATAAGCTGCCTCTCTTCCCTCTAAAACCCATTTATCTTTATGTAAACAACCAGGAGGTGTATGATGGATTTCAAATTAAACGGCGGTAATAGGACTACAGCTAAGACACGCTTTATGATTTGTCTTTTCTTTTGTTACTCTGGCTCCTAACGTGCAACAGAGAAAACATCTGTAAAAAGGCGAGTCTGTCTTTTCAAGTGACAGCTCACTCGCAAGATTTGCTAAAAGTGGGGACGCTAGCATGAGCAGAAAAAAGGCTTTTACTTGATCCCCCCTCCCTGATCCTATTGGCATGTTGGATGAGGACGAAGCCAGTCTGTTCTACAAGCACTGGTGGAAATCATTCGGTATACAAGAAAAAACAGCAGATTTTTCCCTTGTTTTATTGACTGGTTCTGGTTCTAGTTTTAGCCAGTGGTAAACTGGTTTATTCCATTTAACCTTTAATCCACTGGTGTATCTCTAGATCCACGCTGTCTTCTCTAACACTAATACATATACTAAAGTTCTTTTGATGCAAAATGTTTTCTAAATGTGTCGATTATCAGTTATTATCTGATACGACAACCTTCATGCAGTCGGTACAATTTTTTACTTCTTTAACATCTAAAAAAGTTAGTAACCCTGAGAGACATCTAAGAATAAATATTTGACACATTCGACTATTTAAGGCAATAGCAGCTTAACCACATCTACTAACTGCTTCTCTAAGCTAAACTGCTTAGCGTTACAATAAGACCGAATATTATCGATTATTTTTGAGAGTTTCATCATTTCTGCTCGGATTAAACCCAATTTAATGTGTTTTTTTTTATTTTTTTTTTATTTGTCCTAAAAATGTCGGACCATTAAACGTTAATGGCCCTTCTGAATTGAGCAGCTTTTTTTTGCAGTTTATTGATGAGCTAATAGATCTCAGAGATCTTCTTTTTTTAGTTTAAACAAGGTGTCTGCTGTGGGTTCACAATTAACAGAGAAAAGTCACTTTTTTTTTTTGCTTTTTTTCATCTTTTTTTTATTGAAATCCGAAATAGATGCAGACTGTTCCTTACACCCAAATCTGCAGATTGTCTTCTTCTAAAACTGATTTGTCTCAGCATGCTCCTCACTGGTCTCCAGTGTCCAGCCCCCCCCCCGCCCTCCCATGTTCTGTCAGTGTTGGAGCCAATACCTCAATCCCAGTCAACAAACAAACAAATCCGGGAAGTCTTTGTGTGTGTGTGTCGCTGTATGGGTTTTGGCTGAACACTTACTTGGTTATAAATGTGCAGTGTGTGTGTGTGTGTGGGGAGGTGGGGGGTTCTAGATTTTTTTTGGAGTCCTGAAATAGCAGCAGACCCCCCAGTGTGGCAAAGTTTGATAGATGAAAGGCTGTGCCTAGGGCAAAGAGTGTTGACAGAGTCTGCTGCTTGTTCCCTCCACTGTCTGTTCTGACAGAAGATTGAATGTCTTAATGTGCCTGCTTGGCTTTTGCTCATCAAAATAGAATCCATTCAAATCACTTCTTCAAGACAAATGTCTGTTTAAAAAAAAAAAAAAAAGGTTGAGACACAACTTCTTTGTCACTTTTGAGAGATTGCCTCTACTTTAGGATAGCATCAAAATCGGCACATGACAGCTAAAATCAATAATCAATATGCAGCGTTTTTAAATAGCCCACAGTGAGTGTTTGCAAATGACATGTTTGCCATCAGTGCTGTTTAAAAAAAGAGACGCGCACCTTTGTTTTTACTCTCACATTTTAGTTCAGAAGTGTTTTATTTGTCCCACAGGGGACGACGTCAGGAAACAACATGCAGCTTTCTGCTCTCCTGAAATAAACGTAAACGTGCTTTTTTCCTCTTCAAGAAAGAAAACTCTTGACACGCAAACATTGGCTTGAATGTTGATGTCAAAAAGTCATTAAGTTAAAAAAAAAAAAAACACTTAAATACAGAGTTTGTTTCATATTAGGAGCTTTAGAAACATTTATGTTTCTAAAGCTGTATTCTGCCCAATGCTGCGTTTGGAGTCATCTTTTGTAAGGTACTGAAAAGTGCTCCGCTTTCTACAAAAAGAGGAACTCAGTTAAACAAAGATCAGGTCACAAGAGTCAAGACAGCAATATGAAGTGGAGATTCCAGTTTCTTTCATTCTCTGTAGGATTTTCTGATTATAAAATAGAAAAAAAGAGATTAGGAGGAAGGTAGAAAGGAGCGCATTTTACATCTTCGGGGTTAACCTGCTTACAAAGCACCTCGAGAGCCACAGAAGGTGTTTTTATTTGTTGCTATGCTTGCTCATTACATGCTCCTAAACAACGGCCCAGATTTATTTACTGTTGCTCCCGAGTCTGGTGCAGCCGCTCTCGTAAACTCCTCCGCTCTCCTGCTCACCACTCCAACCCACACAGCAGTGAAACACAGCAGCGGCGTCGCAGAGATCTTCCTCTTCTTTCACAGAGCTTTGGTTTTTCACTGTCCGACGTGCTTAAGCCTCAATCAAACTGTCATTTTCCCAGTTCATCTCAGCAGCGGCAGTACAGCGCATAACAACAACAACATGATAATAAGTTTGTGTTATGGAGGAGCCGGGGGAGGTGTGGTGATGGTTGTGACTTAGTTTGTGAGTAGGATGATAAATGAACATGAGCTGCTATCTAAACAGTTTGTTACGGCTGCGGCTCTGCTCAGGTGCCAGGTATTATTGGAGGCGGAAATCTGCCATGCAGATTGGTTTGGCTGAAAGAAAAATGACCAGGGAGGTTTTCAGAGCGCTGAACCCCGCTGACTTAAAATAAGCTTCGTAGACATCAACAACTTTCTCTACTTTTTCAAATTTCAGAGTGTAGAATCTGATAAATCCTTCAACATTTTAAATAAACATAACTGACAAT